GAAATCTGTTTATTTAGGCTGCGGTTGGATGTATAAATAACACACCAGCCATCTGTGGTGCTCTTGGGGGTGGAGAAGGTTGACTTGGGAAGGGCTTCAGGTGACCTTCAGCGTTTTCGAGGTGTGGAACCAGCGGCTTGAGCTGTTCAGAGATAAAGATCTCGGCGGTAACAGAAGCTGAAGTAGAAAACAGGGCCCGTGCCTGATGCTCTGGTGTTTTCTGTTTCTGTGCAAACCTCCTGGGCTGGGCTGTGGGATCTGGGCAGGAGAGGAGCTGCTGCTGGGAGGGATGAGAGATTCCCCCAGTCCCAGAGCTGCAGCAGCATCCTGGGATAACGTTTGGAGGGGTGGGAGCTCCAGACTCCGGAGTTCAGTTGGCGGCGCTGGGTGTGCAATCACAGAGGTGCCGCAGGCTCAGAGAACAGGCTCCTCCAGGCTCTGTGTGCAGCTCAGGGACGGCCTCTAGTCCTGCCTAAACTGAATTCTGTCAGCCTGCTGCCTGATCAACATGTGGAATTAAGGCTGGGAACGCTCTAATGTCATCCAGTCCAACCATTCTCCACCACTGACCCGTGTCCCCAAATCCCACATCCACAGGGATTTTAAATCCCTCCAGGGATGGGGACTCCACCACTGCCCTGGGCAGCTGTGCCAGGGCTGGACACCCCTTTCCAGGAAGAAATTTTCCCTGTTGTCCAACCTAAACCTCCCCTGGCACAGCTTGAGGCTGTTCCCTCTCCTCCCGTCCCTTGTTCCCTGGGAGCAGAGCCCGACCCCCCCCCCCCCCCCCCCCCCCCCCCCCCCCCCGGCTCCCCCCTCCTGTCAGGGAGTTGCAGAGCCAGAAGGTCCCCCCTGAGCCTCCTTTTCTCCAGGCTGAGCCCCCCCAGCTCCCTCAGCTGCCTCATCTGCCAAGGGAGGTAAAGCACAGGGTGAGAAATGACCTCTGGTTCACACGGCTTTATTGTCCCGAGATGGTAAAGGATTGGATTAAGGAATTCAGGATAAGGATTGACTCCTGGAACAGTCACTGTGGATTGTGCCTGTAGGCTCAGGGATGGGCAGTTTGATGCTTGACTGTAGCTGAAAATATTATTTTGGCTGAATAATGGCAGATGATTCCAGGAATCTGGATTTTGTGTGTCGAGGCACTTGGTTCTCCTTTCCTGGTAACACTTACTTTTCTGGAGGTGGGAGATGGAAAATACTCAAGCAGGGCTTAACCAACCGGCCTGACAGAGAAGGCAAAAAAAGATCAGTGTGTATCCTTTAACTCCCTTTTTATTAATTTAATGGGAGCAGTTATGTGTTGCTGATGGAACATTATGAAGGAGTTGGTGTGTCCTTGGCCAAGGAATATTACGGGGAAGAGGAATTTTATCTCTAGATTTGGGTAAATCTCGACCTGAGAGAGTTGGGAGCTGGAAAAGAACTATCACAGTTCCCAGGAAAAGAACTATGACAAGTTCCCATTGTTAAATAAATGGCAGCTTTTGGTGAAAAGCTTATTATCCAGAGCCATTGTCTTTAAAAAGCCACCTGAGGCAGTTCAGAGCTTTGGGAAAAGTCAGGGAACTGCTCTGGAGATCCAAGGATGCTGGAGATTTGAATCAAATCAGTTTAAGTGCTCAAATTAGATTTGGGGGCAGCATTTGTGCCTGATCCCCATTCTGTTACTCCCTTTTCATTAGGGTATTATTGTGCTTTAAAATGATTTTCTCTTCCATGCTGCTGCTGGAAGGGCTCACTCAAACATTGTGCCCTGGTAATAAGAGAATAAGCTATTCAAGTAGGAAATACTTAAACATAATCAATTTTAATGAATACACTGGGGGGGGAAAAAAAAAGAGCATTTCTGTGCTTTTATTTAGTTCCTGGAGGCATTATTTCCAACTGTGGTTTATAATTTTGTTAGGAGGTGGATGTGGATATCTTTATGTATTCATTGTATATATTTCTGTCTGTCCATACATGTTAATAATATATAAATATTATATATTTTGGGACTTGGAGCAATCTGGGATAGTGGAAGGTGTCCCTGCCCATGGCAGGGGGTATGAACTGGGTGATCTTAAAGGCCCCTTCCAACAGAAACTATTCCATGAATTTATTTAAATGGTCTGTTCCTTGTGAGAGAAACCCATGGCTAATATTTAATCTGAATTCTCACTGGTTTATTGTTCCTTTTGCTGGCTTTATTGGATGGTCTGATATTTTACAAGGGCTGCTTTAAGAAGAGAAATTCACCTGTGAAATAATTCCATGTTTTGGAAATATCTGAGATGTTTCGCACTTTTCTCCTTCGCACTGAAGGACCAACATAAATATTTGAGTTGGGGAGGTTTTGTTAATGTTTGCAATAAGCTCCCTGCTTATTTTCAGTCTGCTTTATCCAAGGATTCAGCAGTGGAAAATCCAGAGCAGTGAAACAAAGCAGCTCCCGCTGGATCCTCCCCGTCGCCTCTGCTTCACACGCATCCAACACATTCCCTGCTGGAGCTTGAGTTGTTGGAATTATTGACCAGGAATAAGGCCTGTCCTGCTCCTGTCTTCATGCTGAGTGTTGGGACCTCCTGGAATGGAGCAGGTAGAGGATGACATTGCTCTGCCAGTTCCAGGGACCTACAAACACCTCCTGATCCGCAGCGTCAACGTTCCTGCCTCACTTCTCTAAGTCTGGTTAAATGTCTGGATATCAGGGAACACCTCTCAGGGAATAACCTTCCTTGGCAGTTGTCTGACACTGCTCTGCATCTTTCCATTATTTCCTAATTGCTGCTTTCATTATAGATCCAAAATAACCATAGAGTCATGGACTGGTTTGGATTGGAAGGGACATTAAAGATCACCTGGTTCCACCCCCTGCCCTGGGCAGGGACACCTTCCACTAGCCCAGGTTGCTCCAAGCCCTGTCCAGCCTGGCCTTGGACACTTCCAGGGATCCAGGGGCAGCCACAGCTTCTCTGGGAAACTACTAAAATAATCCCATGTCCAACCAGGTGTTCGTTACCATCTTCATCAATTGACATTTAACGTGAACAGCCTCTATTGAAACACCAACAAACTCCTGGGGCCAGCACCGTTTTCACAAAAAAGACTTGCTTTTTTTTTTTTTTTTAATTAAAAACAAACAAAATAATAGGACCAGCAGTGCTTTTATCACGTCCTGAGAAAGCTAAATAATATTCGGAATGCATGGGATGGACTCGACTCTGCCTGGCTTCTTCCTCTGCAGCTTTTGTGAGCCATCAAGTTGCAAAGCCTGAGCTTCCTGTCTGTGAAATCCATGCTGAAAATCCTCAATATATTGAGATAATGCTGCTGCTGACCAAGCTGTTGTCTCATTGCGTTAATTCAGGATACCCTTGGGTGCTCTTTTCTTAAACAGTTCCCTTGAAGAAATTTTTTTTTGTTTTGTTTTGTTTTTTTCCCAATTCGAAGTTCCAAGTGCAGCACTTGGAATTAGCTCCTCGATCCGGGAGAGCTTCCCCTTTTTTTGTTTTTTTTTTCCCTGCACTCAAGATATTCTCAGCGAGTAGGAACTCTTAAATCACATCTTCTAAAGCCCAGGGAGAAGATACAGCAAAAAAAAAGGCAGGAGATGGGGTTGAGAGTGACGTGATCGTGTAGGTGAAGTGGTTTTGGGGCTGGAATTCACCCTGGGAAGGAGCACAGCGGGTTTTATGCCAGTACTTTGTTCTTGCACGGCCACGTGCTCGCATCTGCCCCTGGAACCGCTGCAGCCACTTGGAAGCGGGGGCTGGAAAATGTGATAATCAATTTTACGGCAGAGAACAGAGCTGATAATTTGCTTTTGTGCAGGGCTTTGAATGAAATAACTCGCTGAGGCGCCCGAAAACGCCGGAGCAATAACGATGTTTGCTTTGTGCTTCCTGCTTTTGTTCCCCTGCTTTGTTTGGGGCTGATCCCTCCTGGAGTTCCCTCAGATCCACTTGAGACTGTCACTTAATGCCCTTCCCTCCCCTGCCTTCAAATGAATATTTATTTGGTGGAGGGGCAGGTTTGCTGCCGGGGTTTTTGGGGGGTGTGCTGCTTGCAGAAGAATTCCGGGCACGGTTTGGGCTTGTGGGACTTGGAATCCTTGGGATTCTGAGAATGGAAGGGCTCTGTGGTGATTGTGACACCATCAGGATTGGGAAGAGCCCTTTAACTGCTCACAGAACAGGCTCCCCGTGGCCATCTGATAAATTTGGGAGTTCAGAATTTGGGACTTTCAAATAGTGGGGAAAATTGGAGGATAATTTAAGGGAAATGGACTCATTGTTTTGGGCTGAAAATCGCCTCAGTGCATCTCGCAGAAGCAATAACAATTTCAATGTTTTCCTGATGAGCTGAGCGATATTCCTGCTAAAGAAGGGCAGCTGATCTCCAAATCTGATCTGGGAAGTACTTCTGGACACCCCAGCATCTGGAAAACATTCCTAGTCCTGGAATGGCTTCGTTTGGTATTTGAGTTTCCTGCGGCATCACCGGCCTCAGAATTTGCAGTTCCCTGAAAAAGCAGAAGTGGCATTAAGCTGGTTTTGGGGACAGAGTTGGTGGTCTGGGCATTCCAACCAAGGGTTTTCCAACGTGTCAAATCCCTTTTTTTCCCCTGCCATGCCTGCAGGAGTAAAGCCTTGCTGTACACAACAACCTGGGCCGCGCTCGGTGCATGTCACGAAATTTAAACAGGGGTTGTTGCTTCTTGTAGGTGCAGAGTGTTACACATCCTCTTTGGGCTGGAAATTATCCATAATATCCTCTCCCATGAGCCAGCCCTGCTCATCTTTGCACAGAAACTCCTGCAGGACGTGCAAATACAGCTGTGAAAAATCCCAGATTTTCCATTATTCGTCTTCCCCCTCCTCTACTCCCTGATTTTTATTTTTTTTTTTCAGAGCCCTTGTTTTATTCTTTGCTGGTTTCTTTGGGCTGAAAGGAAACCAAACCGAGGAAAGCTGCGTTAGGAAAACACCCTCTGGAAGACTTTTCTTTATTAGTCAGTGTTTGTGTTGCATGAAAATTTAATATCCGTCTCCAAGGTGGTGCTCGTCTCCTGGAAGGATAAGAAGCTTGGCACACATGAATTAGCATTTTTTGTCAGCTCCCTTTTTATAAACTTCAAAAGCAGAAGGTGAGAACTGCGTCTTCCATTTAGAAAATTGAGGTTGGGTTTAATATTATTCCGTTGTGAAGGGGAAGAAGAGCTGTGGCTGCAGCTGCTCTGTGATTAAAGCCGTGGCAGTTCCATCCCTGCTGGTTTTCCAGTCATTCCTACGGAATAAAATGACTCCTCCAGTGGATTAGTTGTGTGCTTTCCCCCGTTTTCTTTGTGCTTGTGTCGTTATCCCCTTCCTTCCACGGTTTGTGTGGTGCTCCACGTGTTGCTGTCGTGGCACTGCTGCCGGATATTTTGCATGGAAATTGCCTTATCCCGGGAAAATCCACGCTCCGGGTTCACCCTGGGCACAGTGGGTGGATTTCACGGCTTGTTACGCTCCACGGCATGTTTGAGTTCCTCCAAAATAAACTTTCCAAGGCGGCTTTGTGAAGGTTTTTTTTTTGCAGCACGTTTCCTGTGCACCTGCCTGGTTAAGGATTCATTTCCGTGGCCAATCCCCATTAACGCAGAGCGGAGTGTCCCGGGAATTTTATAGGGATTTCAGAGCTTGGATCTCCGGTGTGACACACTTTGATCTTGTGTGGAATCAGCAAAAACGATGCCAAGAAGATTTCCAGCCTTTGCAAGGATGCAGAGTGGTGTGGGACTGAAGTGCTGACTGGGCAGGGCAGCGCTACAGGAAAGAAAAATCAGGGAAAATTCCGGACTTATTTCCCATCAAGGACTTCTGTGCTGCCAAAAAAAAATATTCTGCTCCGTCCAAATTGTGAGCAGACATCGAAGTTGCTGGTTTGCTGGAAGCAAAGTATTGAATTCCCAGCAATATAGTGGAAAATAATGCGTTCTGAGGTCACTGGTGGCTCTGTAATACTCATTTTTTCCCCGTGGAGCTCGGGAGTTGTGGGGTCAGTTTTTATTTTTTTGCGGAAAAACTTGACATTTATTGTTGTGCAAGATTCACTCTTGTCTTTCCATCTGCATTTATTTATAGTTGCTGCCTGTTTGCTTTGACAGTGTGTTGGTGCTTTTTAGTTTCAGGGATTGATTTATTCCGCCGGAACACGGACCAGCAGCTCTGGAAATCCGGGGCACTCCGTGTCTTTCTCACACGTGCACAGGTTTCAGCCACTTTGAAAGTCCCTGGTTTTCATTTTAGGGACTGGTCATGGGGGTTTAAAAATGCCCTGGTTCAACTTTTGGAGGGTGAATCATTCTGGGGAGGTGTTGCTGTGGCTCAAAGTCAACCCCAGAACTCACCTTCCCGCCTCTGCACGTTCCCTCTGAAACATCCATTCTCACGTTGCTGGGATTTTTTATTTCCTGGTGGATGTCACTGGTAATTTATTAGCTTGTTTTATCTGGATTTATGTGGTGAGCAGCCCAAAAAAAAAACCACCTCAGTTAAAACGTGTTAAAATAGTAATTCCTGGCTCATTTCCAGCTTCCCTCGGTACCTGAGCCGTGGAGGATTTCTGGGACAGCAGGAAAACGTTGTCAGCACCAGCAGAATTCCACAGTAACAGTTTCCATGCAGGTCTGCTGTTTGAATATGAAGGATTTGGATTTCTGGGGGAAACAGGAATGTGTGATCCCAGTTGGAAAAGCTGAAGTGACTTTGTAGCCTGTGACTTTATATTCCCTTGGGAATAAATGACCACAGACTTCAGGAATCAAACAGAAGCACAGTTCATCATCCAGTCCCCTTACTTTCCCTATCTATGCAATTAGGACAAATTATTTATATGTTTTAAAGCTGTTCTGATGATGGTGCAATTTAAATAGGAATTTGGAGGTCTGGAAGCATATTTTCATGGCACTTTTGCATGGCAACTGGGATTCAGTTGTCTATTCTGAGAATAATACTGCCCTACAGAAGAAATGTGGTTAATGTTACTATAAATATGCCTAAATCATCTTCACTGAGGCTGATGAAAAAGGGATATTGTGTGTTAAAAGTGATGGGCTTTAAATGTGATCTTAATTTCCCTGTTCAGCGCTGAGGGGAATTCGTCACGTGGAATTAAAGGACAAAAAAAAAATAAATGTGAAAATGGTGTTATCAGATCAAAGCTGGGGGAGGCATCAGAGCAGCTTCTGGGCCTGAGCTCTGCTTGTTTTTCAAAACAAGATGTGTGTGGATGAGGCTGTGGATGAGATGGGACATCCCATGCCGTGTTCCCACCCTCTGAATCCCACTGGTTTTCCAGCCTCTCAAGGCAGTGGGACGGTGGCTTTCCCTGTGGATTGTGTGCCTGGGCTCCTTCCTGGAGGAGTGACCCTTGGTGAGACAGCTTGGACCATCAGGGCTGGTGAGGTCAGGAACTGAGGGTGGGCTGGAGGTTCTCCCAGGGAAGATGAAGGGAAATCTTTCCCCTTATTTCGTAGGTTGCTGTAACTGCAGGCAGCTCGTTCACGGAATCAGGGAATGGTTTGGGTTGGAAGGGAACTTAAAGGCCATCCAGTCCCACCCCCTGCCATGGGCAGGGACACCTTCCACTAGCTCAGGTTGTTCCAGCCTGGCCTTGGACACTTCCAGGGATCCAGGAGCAGCCACAGCTTCTCTGGGCAACCTGTGCCAGGGCCTCACCACCCTCACAGCCAGGAATTCCTTCCCAATATCCCATCTAACCCTGCCCTCTTTCAGTTTGAAACCATTCCCCCTTGTCCCCAGTCCCTCTCCAGCTCTCCTGGAGCCCCTTTAGGCCCTGCAAGGGGCTCTCAGCTCTCCCTGGAGCCTTCTCTTCTCCAGGTGACCTCTACAGGATTCCTTCCTCTTACCTGTGGATTTGAAGAAGAAATTCTCTGGGAGACACCTGTGTGCATGTGTGTCCATTGATTTCTGTTCACACTTGAATTTTTCATGCATTTCCTATTGATTGAAAGCTATTAATTTGCAAAAATTATGAACTTGCAGCAGCCTGAGCCCTTCCTGGACTTTCTCTGGGTATCAAGGCTCTCTTGCTTTTCCGTAGTAAATAACGAGTGAACTTCTGCCATTCACTGCAGGAAACCCTTCTGTTCAGATTTAGGGAGATTTCCAGGATTCTATAGAACACAACTGGAATTTTTTCATTAGTATCTTGTGACATAAGGATTTTGTGACCACAAGCAGCAAATTCACACCAAAAATTTAAGAGTAGGTGGGTGAGAGTCGCTGCCCTGGAGGAGATGAACCGCTCTGGGTGATCTCTGGGGTAACTCTGTCATACCTGGAGAAGAAAAAAAAAACCATTTTGAGTTGGAGGGTTTTTAAGTTCTCCAAACTTAACAGATCAGAGCAGCAAGAGGTGCTGTGGCATGGGGAGCTTTGGAAGCCCTTTGGGAATCTGGGCTGTGGAGGGGTTAAGGATTAACAGCAGGTCAGGGCTGGGATTTGGCACAAGATGCTTTCCCTTGAAGCTCCAACTAAATAAGAAAACCCACCCAGATAGCTATAATTTAATGGGGTTAAATATATACCCACACATTTCTCTCTCTCTCTCTCTCCCCTGTCTGGCATTTTCAACAGAGGTTCTTCTTTTATGCCTTAGAGTAGCTCAGAGTCTTTTTATCAGCCCTTTCTCTTGGTTGTTCATGTTCATTATTAGGTCTTTTAAAAACAAGCTCTGGGAAAATCTGGCCCTGATAAGTTGTGTGTTGCTGGAACTTCTGCAAGGAGTGAAAACAGTAGGAGTGGTAGTTTCTAAATTTTCCTTTTGGGTTGTTTTTCTTTGGGCAGCAACTTCTGCACCCAGTGAGTGTAAAACACTTGTGGTGTGGGTAAAGCTCTACAGCTACCGAGGTGTGGAGTTAAGATAATTATTGTGCAGGTCACTTGATCTTCCTTAATGTATAATATCCTGTTGAAGTGCTGGAGCTGAGGAGGAAAGAGGACAGGTCAGCATTGTGAAACAGCTGTCCAAGGTAACTCTGATATGTGTAATTTGGAGTGTGTTATGTATCATCTCATCCTGATCTCGGTAGCAAAGGTCTTGCTGATCAGGCAGTAAAATATCTCAGAGGCACATTTGCTGGTGCTGATACTGTTTGAGATGTTCACTGACATGCAGAGTGAACCAAACCCAGGCTTTTCAGGTGTGGGGTTTGGAAATGAAACCCTGCCTGGGGTGTAGATATGGAAATCAGATGTTGTGAACTGCCTTTTGAGGAACCCTCTCCCTGTCCATGGAGTGCACGGGGCACGTCCCTGTTAAACAGGCACTGAGAGTTTTAGGGGACTGAAGGCAGGTGATGGGGATGTGCCACCTGCAGCCTCATCCCAGGTCACCTTCAGGAATATCCCTGCAGGAGGGAAGAGGAGACTGAGGTCGAACCTCACGGGGATCTGCAGATTCCTCCCGAGGGGCAGCTCTGGGTGAGCAGGGACAGGAGCCAGGGGATGGCTGGAGCTGTGCCAGGGCAGGGTCAGGGTGGATTTTAGGGAAAGATTCTTCCCCCAGAGGCTGGTTGGGCACTGCCCAGGCTCCCCAGGGCAGTGGGCACAGCCCCAAGGCTGCCAGAGCTCCAGGAGGGTTTGGACAACGCTCTGAGGGACAGGGTGGGATTGTTGGGGTGTCTGGGCAGGGCCAAGGGTTGGACTGTGTGATCCTGGTGGGTCCCTTCCCACCCAGGATATTCCATGATTCTGTGTGCAGGTGAAGCCAAAGGCAGCTCAGCAATCCTCCCTGCTGTCCTTGCTTTCCAGGGATATCCACAGCAAACTAAGGGCAGCAAATTGCACCAGCAGTGAAAACAGGGAAGGGAGGTGGCTGTGCATCACTTGGTCTAATTTGGGGTGGCGTTTTTTTTTTGGGTTTTGGTGTTTTGTTTTCTTTTTCCCAGTCCTGATGTGTTCCTTGGCTCCTTCCCTGTGTTTTCCCTGAAGTTTCAGTTCCTAAGGGGGATAGCACTTCCCTCTCAGAAAGAATTAACACAGGACAGAATTCCAGGATTGATTTATCAACAGCTTTGATGGGGAGTTGATTCCCAACCCCTACAGACTGAGGTCGAGGTGCCACCAGACTTCTGGGATC